TAATTTACTCCATATTTACATGGTTTATTTACACTGTAAACAGTGTAAATTAGGTGTAATTTACTGTAAACAATGTAAATTAGGTGTAATTTAATGTAAACAATGTAAAGAAGGTGTAATTTACTCCATATTTACATGGTTTATTTACACTGTAAACAGTGTAAATTAGGTGTAATTTAATGTAAACAATGTAAAGAAGGTGTAATTTACTCCATATTTACATGGTTTATTTACACTGTAAACAATGTAAATTAGGTGTAATTTAATGTAAACAATGTAAATTAGGTGTAATTTAATGTAAACAATGTAAAGAAGGAGTTACTTAAAGTAAACAATGTAAATAAGGAGTAATTTACTCCATATCTACATGGTTTATTTACACTGTAAACAGTGTAAATTAGGTGTAATTTAATGTAAACAGTGTAAAGAAGAGCGGGCTCCACCTCGGCGAACTGCGGCCCGCCCTGGTCGTTGCTGTCCGCAGCGCCACCCTGCAGCAGCAGAGCCAGGGTGACGCACAGCAGCAGCGGGCCCCACAGGTCCCAGTCCCGCAGCAGGACCGAGCTCCTCTTCGGGTACAGCACGTGGACGAACTTGTTGCCCACGGCCCGCAGGTCCCGCAGGACGGTCTCCTTCACCGGCTCGTCCAGCGTGGACAACCCGTCGTCTCTGGTGGACGGAGCGACGGGGACGGAGATGTCCCCTTCCACCGGGATGTCCTCCGGGATGGACACGTCTGAGAATGCCGCGAACGGCCTGCTGGCCTCCTGTGCTGAAGCCATTCTGTTAGTCTGACTTTATTCCTGCAGTAAAAACGGAACCACAGAGTCCACCGAACCTCTAAACCCACAGGAACCGACTGGAACCTCCAAGCTTCAACAAATTCTGCTCCACGTCAGCCGAGGATTGTTTACTTCCGCAAAGAACTTACGTAACGTACGTAGATCCGGGTGCTGCGTTCAAGGACAGTCCGTCTTTCGATGATTATCGGTTAAACACCAGAAGATTGATTGTCTTCTACAGAAATAACAATGTATTTTATTTTAATAAAATAAACACAACTAGAACAAAATTATATACGATGATAAATTCTGAATAAACAACACTAAAGCTGCTGAAGAAGAACACTGTTATAATCCTTGGTAAATCATAAATACACAAACCCCAGTGTAAGAAAATGTCTCCTAAATGTTGTTTTTCTCAGTGAGTTTCTTCTCTGTGTAAAAACCTTTAAAATAAAGATGAGTCCTATCACTAATAAACTTCTCAACATTACTGAAGAACAGAGTTTAGCAGTTTTGTAGCCCGTAARTYCCCCTGTTTCAGTATTTTGTTTTATTGTATTTAATTATTCTTTAAGTTATCTGTTCTGCACCTGCTGCTTGCCTTTTGTTTACCTGCTGTTTTGTTTCCGGTTATTCTGAAGGCATCACTGTCGTCGGCTGTTGATGACGTCATCAATCCTCGACAGTGTTTACAGCCCGCTCTGTGCTGCTCCAGATAATCTGGAGTTTTCTGGTGGATTTGAGTTGTTTTTTGTTTCTTTTAGTGTTTAAATCATGTTTTTTGTTTCTTTTAGTGTTTAAATCATGTCCGTCCGACGCTTCGACGCGACTTTCTACCGGAAGCAGGTGAAGTCTGACTGCGAGGAGCTGCTCGGCCGCTTCCAGAGAACCCAGTCGGTTCGGTTCGAAGTGTTCGCCAACATCTGGAGGGAGATGGAGTTCTCCCAGATGTTCTGGTAAATTTACTGTGAAAACCTGCTGAAGTATTTGCTGCAGAGCAGAGTCACTTGTGATAAATGACCGTAAAAACGGTAATAAGTGCGCGTGTTTAAACACATCTGACTGTCAGTTTGTAGTTTTTAAAGTTTTACTCTGTCGGAACCAGAAACGATGTGTTTGACTGTTTTCAGAGAGCTGTTCAAAAGAGTCAGAGTTTTTAGTCTGACTGCCTGTGACCTGTGTTCAGTGAAGTGTTTAAACATTAAGATCTCTGGTGTTTGTTTGTTTGTTTGTTTGTTTGTTTGTTTGTTTGTTTTCCTGGGCTCAGGGGCACCAGGAACACTGTGAGACGGGCGTTCAGCCGTCTGGTCCTGGACACAGTTTACAGCTACTTCCTGCCTCCGTTCAGCTTTCAGATCCGWGTGGGAGGACTTTACCTGCTGCACAGTCTGTATCACAGTCAGACGACCCGTCCCTCTGAGCAGGTCAGACCTGCAGCTGGACTCTGTGTTTGACGGGTCACACGTGGCTCCAAGTCCTTGCTGTCTCTGTCTGCAGATCCGGCTGGCCCTGAAGGACTGGGACGATGTGAAGAAGTTTGAGAGGGARGCAGTGGACGCTCAGCACATGGACGTTGTCTTCATCCTTCGACAGCTGATGTTGTTTAAAGCCTTCTCCTTCACGGCCACGCCCACTGTGGTGAGCTTCCTGCTGTGACYGGGTCTAAACAAGCTCCTGGTTTCAGTTTGAAGGTTTTATAAGTCAGGACTGGACTGGAACTGGTCTCCTCTGCTCCTCACAGCTCACCTACAGCAGGAAGAGGACCGAGGACCGGTCGGCGCTGTGTGGGGACTTTGTGGAGCGAGCGTCTCGTCCACAGGAGCTGATCAGTGGCGAGCTGCTGGAGGTGAGGCTCACCACTGATCACTGCTGCTCACCACTGCTCACCACTGCTCACCACTGCTCACTGCTGCTCACCACTGCTCACTGCTGCTCACCACTCTTCACAGTTTGCATTTTTAAATGTTTGTCTTCTGCAGGAACTGTCCAACATCCACAGCCTGTACACAAACATGAAGACATCTGCTGTCTCTCAGATGACATCACCGGCTGATTCCTCCGTTAATCTGATCCAGAAGGACCTGGTCTCCCAGCTTCACAGCACCGTGCTGGACTTCTACAGCTGGCAGCGTCGACAGGTGGGACGTGTCCTGACTGGCTCTTTAATTTTAATCATCAGTCAGAATCAGAACCGGGTTTTTATTAACTCAACAAAAGTTAGTTCTGCTGACTCAGTGCAGGAGATGTGATACAAAAAGAGAAATGTCCACGCTCCTCTTAACTTGTAATTTATTTAAATGAATTCTGAACTTTTGTTTAACCTCACAAGTCCAGTTTTTAAAGGGATCCACGATTAGTTGTAACATTAAACTTTATATGATAAACATATATTTTAACTTTAAATAAAGACTGTAAAAATACTGCAGGATGTTTAGTTTTAATCATTTTAAACTAAAAGTTTCTGTATGAAACGTAGTTTCTGTAAACTGTAAAGATCTGTGGTTCATCCCAAGCTGTGATTGTTTTATTTCCTCCTGGTTATAAARGGTCTGTCGGCCATTTTGATTCGTTGAGGAAACATGTTGTTGCTCATGTTTGCACATTTTGCTGCGTCCACTTCGAGACCTTTCTGCTGTTTTTCTGCAGCTTCTCAACGTGTCCAGTGCTTCTTTCTTTCCAACTCTGGACCGGCAGCTTCTAATGGCAAGATTTATAACTTTGGTCGAAAGGGGCGGAGCTGGCCGGGTGGAGTGCTGAGAGATTTCATTGGATTAGCTCGATGTCCATCAAGAAAATCAACCAATAGGCTGTCATGGTCGACATAAATGATTTATAATATATTTTTTTGGTTCATGARAGGCCCGGGCCGGCCCATAAATGAGTGTCGGTCCAGCCCTGCTTGTTATGCTGTTATTATTATTATTTTAGTTTTAAAATGGTCACCAGACAATATTATTATTTGTGATTTCTGACTATTAATCGTCCAGTTTGTTACCATGACAGAAGCTAGAGTCCTGTAATGATCAGCTCCATACAGAAACATGGACTGTTGCACCTCTACTAAAACAAAATGTTACATCTATTAAAAACATACTGAACAAAATATAAAATATGAGATCAGAACTAAAACTGTAAATGTATAAAAAGGACATTAATTAAAGAAACACTGAGGATAATTCAAACCAGTTATAATTCTGCACAACAATCAAAGAGTTAAACCTGCTGTTTTCTACAGGTTCTTTACATGAGTGGAACTAAAGAAACTTTTATTTTGACAGAATTCATCGACTTTAAACGAACTGATCACACATTAATCCTGTTGTTGTGACAGGAAACTGCTGACGAACATGAGAACAGCCAGGAGGGAGTGTCCTCTCAGCAGGAGGTAAAGATCATTTCTTCTTCCTGGTTTTCCAACAAAGTTCTGCATGAACACTGTTCTGATGTGAGACGAGAGGTGTCCTCCACTGTCCATCTGATGGTGTCCAGAATCACAACACCTGCAGTGAGAACGGTTCCTCAGATAACTCTGAATATTTAGAGAAGAAAACATGATGAACATTCGACCCAGACAACAAGGAGCCTTTCTACCTCATGGCAGGAAGTTAAGAAGCTCCARGGTTGGAGACACAGCAGCTGCAGCCCCACCAGATCCTGATCACAGCAGCTGTCTTCACACTGAGGGTCCAGATTCTGAACCCAGGTTCACTAATGACAAAAAAAAACAGACTCAGAAAGAGTGACTGAACCTCAGCTGGACTTCCTGTTTATTTCCTGAAGAAGGTTCTGTCCTCTGAAGACGTCCTGACAGACCAGAAAGAACAGTTTGTGACTGAAAGTCCCAGTGTCTGTGCAGACAGAGGACAGGTTCTGTTTCACCTGGACTCTTCATTTTTCACACTGACTTCCTGTTTGTGTTTGGATGGGTTGATGGAACTTCCTGTTTGTGTTTCCATGGGTTGATGTAACTTCCTGTTTGTGTTTGGATGGGTTGATGGAACTTCCTGTTTGTGTTTGGATGGGTTGATGTAACTTCCTGTTTGTGTTTGGATGGGTTGATGTAACTTCCTGTTTGTGTCCTCAGAGCTCCAGCAGAGCTGAGCTTCGGGCTTCCATCAAGTCGAAGGCATACGGAGAAGCAGCAGAGGTTTGTGAACATTTTTAATCCCCTGCTGCCATTAAAGGCAGGAAATTATGTGTCTTTGTGTTCATTTGTCTGTTAGTAAAATATCTGCTGAATGAGTTTAATGAAATTCTCAGAAAGTAATGACAGGATGTTGGATTAGAGGCTGTGTGACCACCCTCCGTGGCAGAGGGATAAATCATGGGATTAAAGTGTCTGTCTTTATGTTTGAGGTCACAAAGTCGAGACGTCATCGCCAGGTGGAGATGTTTTCCACTCCTGAAGAGACCGAACCCGTCCTGAAATCCGCTTCCAACAGAACAGTCAAACCATCTCTCAGGATCAGAACCAATGAGATGCTCCCTATCTCCGGTAAGCCCCTCCCACCGCTTTTCAAAATAAAGCACTACAGTCAGACATCAACAGCTTGATCAAAATATTGTTTCCATGGGTTGATGTAACTTCCTGGCTGTGTCCAAAAC